TAGGTACGAACGACGAGTAGAGATATATATATATATATATATATATATATATATATAAGGAAATGGCTTGGCTTACTTGCGGTATAATATATCATGCGCAATACTGCTCTCTAGAGATATGCATGATGCATTCGTAAATACATATCTTGTCAAGATCGATGAATATAAACATCATATATTGTCACGAGTGTCAAAGAAGTTGTCGGCACATGATAAAATAAATTGTTGCTCGTGCACACGCATTCGCATTGTCACCACTTTTTATTATATTTCTTTTTATAAAAAATATGTTTTAGGGTCTGCGCTGGGCCTGTGGACTGTGGCCTGTGAACTGTATCGCAGAGCTTCGTTTTTTCATAGCCCCTTTAAAAACAAAATCTTTATTCACAAAATTAAAAAGAGAGTGAAAATGGCGGGCGATATTTATTAACTTCCAAAAAAAAGGGTCTTTTTTAGGAGGCTATGAAAAAGAACCCTATGATTTTTTCTTGTAATTTCCCCCCCCCCCACACTTGTATTAAGTAGTATATTTATGTCGCAGACTAAAGCATCATATGGGTCTATATTGTGTGCATATGTGTTTCACTGATACCGTGAATCTGTATAGTTTCAGCTTCGTTTGAGACATAATCTCGGAGCCGAGGCTTAATTGCATAGCCTCTCTATCCGCTCTACATAGCTACGAGTAGCAAGTAATAGGCTTGTCGTAAAGATATGAATAATGAATTTGCATTGCTACACAAGTTTCATTGCTACGCACTTCTGACGACATAGTATAGAAGGTTTATAAACAATCTTACGCAACGATACAGTAGGGTATATTGGGTATATAGATATCTTACAAGACTATGGTCAGAATATCTGATGTGCTCAGCAAATCACTGGAAAGCACTAGACGGCATTTGCTGAAACGGAGAGAACAAGTTGGTGACAACCAGGTAAGTTCTAATTGGATTACCATAAAAGATTATACCGTCAATCATATATATATATATATATATATATATATATATGTGTGTGTGTGTGTGTGTGTATGTGCGTATGTATATACATAGATGTATATATAT